ACATATAAAATTAATCTGTTTTCCCTATGGTAGAGACTTCTATATAATGACTTTGTGTTAGCCCAGCAGTCTTCAAAATTGGTATCTTTTAAGTGGTCTTCAGTTCCCAGAATTCCTCAGCCAGCATAGAATTCAATCCCCAAAATTCTGGGAATTGAAGTCTACAAGTCTTAAAGTTGCCAAGTTTGGAGATGTTGGCTCATTGCAGTGAAAACTCACCTGGAGCCATAGGACTCCTTCAAGAATGAGGGTTTTTTTGGTCAACAGCCTGGATGTTTGGAGGCAAGGGCTGCTTGGGCTGCATGAAGTGGTTGTCAGAAGGTAGCAGTGAGATGACACCAAAAAGCTTCTTGCCAGGGGGCAGCAGTGGGAGGGCCCGAAGCCGTGGGCATTCTCCCTGACCAAACCTGGCAAAAATCCGGAAGATGGGCTGAGAACTGAGGACACAGCCCCACCTAGTGGCAGGTCAGCACTGTGGAAAAGGCGAACATTCAAACCCCAACAAGGGACAGTGTCCGATCCAGTAGCTCTTGCCCCAAATGAAGCTTTGCTACTCAGCCGCTCCACTTTGGAACTGCTTTTCAGTGTTCACAGAAGTCTATCAGTTGGAACAAAACTCTTAAGGAAGGGAGGGGGATGTCAAGCTGTTGGTTGCCAAAGACAGAAGACGGAAGATGGTAGAACAGCAGCTGCCTCTCGGGAAAGCCCTTGAGCTCCTCCTCTGCTCATCTTGCAGGGCCTGAAAAGGCCCTCTGCATCATCCTGAGTGCCAGGCGGCCATGCCTACTTACCCAACCCTCCAAAGACCATTTAAGGCAGCTGGGAGGGCCTCTGGATCTGAGCATGTGCTTCCTTGGGGCTTCTGAAGAAGCCATGCTCAGCCTGACTACAGGTCAACCCAGCCAAGGGACCCTGGCATCTTCCCTCTCCTTCCCAGCAGGCTCAGCCTCTTCTTGTCTCTGCTTTGATAAGATAAGCATCCACTTCACGGAAGGAAGCTCCATCTGGCCTCCCGTGGCGGATGCAGGAGGAGGAGGAAGAGACCCGGTGGCAGCACCTATGGCTTGCTCCGTCAGCCACAAGCCCCTCTAGCAGCTGGGCGAGACTGTTTTCTCTGCCGAATAACAGAGATTCCTGAGAGGCAAATTTGAACAGGCGACTCAACCTCAGCAGGGGCCGAAATGCATTTTGAATTAGAGTTGCTTGTCTCCAATGGACTGTTGGCTGGAAGGAAAACACCTGCCTTGGGTGAAAGGATCTTGCTAAGCGCAAAATAGGCTAAGCTGCCACATGAAAAACAGCTCAGGACATGCAGGCTTAGAAAAGAAACATGGCGGAAAGGGAGCCATGATGCATGACCTTCACACCATAATAGCCTTCTCTTGGCCAACCAAATAAGAGCAGGTGCTTCCCCCCCTCACCTGTGTTTCTGTTCCTGTCCAAGAGAAGAGCCTTTCTCAACCTTGGCAACTTTAAGGTGTGTGGACTCCAACTCCCAGCAGCCCTCATGTTGACAGGAATCCACCTTGGCTTGGGGACAGCTCAGTCTGCAGCTTGAAATGGATGCCAAGGCTCTCCTACCACACATTTGCAGGGCAGAGAGGCAGGAGAGGGGAGAGACCCTCTTTAAAAAAAAAAAGCAGCAGCCTTGGTTCCTGCTCAGCCACATCTGCAAATACTAAGCAATTGCGCCCTCCCCATCCTCAAAAAGTGGGTTGAGCTGAGCTGCAGTGACTTTCAAAATAGGGACAAAAGTATTAAAACCATCAGTTCTCCTCTCTAGTTCTTCTGCAGGAAGGGACAAAGAATGGACACTCAATCGGTGTCCGCCTCCTGCTGCACCCTCAGTTCAAGCTCCTCTATCAGCGTTTGCTCGGTCACTTCCAAAATAAGACAAGTTAGGGTGAGTATAATGGAAAGGATGAAGAAAGATGCTTAACACAAGAGGGGAGGTTCCACTTCACCAAAATCTGAAAGATCTCAAATGCAGAAAAATGCTTTTACATTAGATAGACCACAATTCAGCCTTAAATTAACTGCAAAGCCTAGTAATAATTATTGGAGTTTTACCTCTCCTTGTGATCAACTCAAGGCAGCAAACATACTTAATACCCCTGCTTGCTATTGTCCTCACAACAACTCTGTGAGGTGAGTCGGACTGAGAGAGTGAGGCTGCCCCAAAATCATGTGGCTGGATTTCCTGCCTGAGGGAGGCCTAGATTTCACTGTGCCTGGTTTGTGGGCCAGCACCTTTGTTGCTACCCAAAACTGACTCCTAATAATGACAGTGAGGTGATATTATAGAAGGGCTGATTTTGGAGCTGCCCCCAAATTGGATGTGGAGAAAAAGTCTGTTTGCATCTCCTTAGACCAGCAGGCAACATCAAGATGTGTGGACTTCAACTCCCAGAATTCCCCAGCCAGCTATGCTGTGCCAGGATCCCTCTGGCTGTGGCCAAACCATTTGGGGGCCCACATGGTCCATTCCTTTCCTTTCCCTCCTCTTTGTATATGTAGCTTCTCAGCTTCATAAACCTTCTGAGCTCTGAAGGATCAGCTCCCTGCTCCAGGAATGTCTGGGCACAGACTCCAGTTGGCCTGATAGAATTCCGTGAGTTTCCTCTCCTCCAGACCTTCTCCAAGTGCCAGAGAAGGGAAGAGCTCCCATGGGAAAGCTCAGCTGAGCCGCCTTCTCTCATTCCAGAGAATGTCCCTTGGAGCTCCCTGGATCTGAGAAAGAGAGCAGAGGCGGCCTCAGCTGGGGGGTGGAGGGGGGGGGAAGGGATGGGACAACTTGCCACAGCCAACTCACCAAGGCCAAGTGGAGAAAACTCACCACCGGACAATTTCACAATTCTATTTTATTATTTAAAATAAATAAAAATCATTTTAATTTTTGCCATCCATGTTCCATTCAGTCTTGCTTTTGCACCCTTTCCTTCATGACTCTATTCCATCCGTTCTTTGATATTAGTGTAACTCTGGTCCTGCAGTGAGTGTGGTGTGTTGGCCATGGGGAATGCTCATAGACCCTCAGCTGGGTCACAGACGCCTTGCTCTCTCCCTTCAGCTGCTGCCTGGAAAGTTCAGCCTCTCTTGCGGGGCTTCTGGAGGGGGCTGTGGGGCTGGCCAGACCTGGGGGCAGCTGGGAGCCTCCAGTCTGCAACACCCCTCATTTTGACTAGGAGTCTGTTTCATTCGTTCAGGGTTAAGACTCTTCCCAGCCTTCGTGGGCACTGAAGAAAGGCTGACTCAACCGGGGCTCCGACGGCGCATTCTCTTGCTTTCCGAATCCGTTTCCCGGGAACTGGCCGGAGCGAGCCTTCCTCTTCGTTCAGAGCCCTTTGATCTGCCCGCTCTTCACCGGTTGCTTCCCCCTCAAGTGCCCGGGCACACCTGAACGTCGGAAGGCTGAGCGGCGACAACTCTTGACTTCCCCGCCGGGACCCCGCTCGCTGCCCGAAAGAGCCAACCTGCCTCCCCGCACGGGGGCTCCTTTTCGGGAAGGGGCGGCTTTCCCTCCGCCCGGAAGTCCCCTTGCTCGGCGGCGAACCGGGAGGCAGAGAGAAGCCCGTTCCTGGGGAGGCAAATGGGGCGGGGGGCGCTTTGCCCTTAAGCTCCGCTCCCGTTCAGAACCAGAGCGGCTCCCTGGCTGTCAAACGAGGGGGGGGGACGAGGGAGGGGAGGAGGGATCGGGCTTTAAACCGAGGTAGATTAGATAATTCATTTCGTCCTCTCCCCTCCTCCCTCCCTCCCTCGCCTTCGCCGCTTTCCCTTCTTGGTGGAGAAAGTTGGGAGGAAGGCAGAGGGTACGGTGGGAGGGAGGGAAGGAGGGGAGGGAGGGAGAGGCCCCGCCCGCGGCAGCCAGAGGGCTCGGGGGTGACCGGGGGCGCCCTTTGCTCCGATGGGCTCGGCTGCCGGCTGCCCTGCCTGAGCCGTGAAGGCCGCCTCCGGGATGGGCAACTGCGTGAAGTCTCCGCTGAGGAGCCTCTCGCGGAAGGTAGGTCCCACAGCGCGGCGGGGCCCCTTCCCCACAGCCCAGCCACCGCGGCAGGGGACAGGGGGAGAAGACGGGCAGAGGCGGGCACGTGGGGCTCGGGCAGCGGCCAAAGCAGCCTCTTGCGCCGGGGCGGGGGAGAGGGCTCCGGCCACGCAGACTCGTATCCCGAGGCAGGTGGTCGCGTGATGGGTGAGTTTGCCACGGGGCTTAGGGGATTAGCGGACGCTCGCTCCGGTTGACTCAGCTGGAATTGCGGGTCTGGCGGGGCCGCCGCAAGTGGGAAGGCGGCTGCTAAAGGAGAACCTCTTTGGGGAGGGTGAAGCCCCCTCCCCATAGGCGCCAGAGTCTGGCCATAGTTTTAGCAACGCCGGCAGCTGAAGGGCCGTAAGCAGGACTTTGGCAGGGGTGTATAGCTCCCTGGTGCCAGGCACAGAAGGAAATAAGACCGAGATCGCCGTGCCAGGGTTTGGGCACACAGTTGCATCGCTATTTAATCCCCCCAATGATTGCGTTTCTCTTCTCACAATCCACTGCTAGGAGTTTATGTGCGGGAAAAGTGTTGTAAAGAGGGGAAAAAGAAGAAAGATGAGTTTCCATTTAAAGTACTTGAAGGAACTTCCCCTTCCTTCCTCCCTGCCCCCCCTTTTTTCTGGCGTGTTCCAGGTGAGTGAGTGAGTGTAAACATCTCCTACTCAAGAAGTTTGCTGAGAAAGAATTTTTTCCATGGGAGATCAATATTTTTGCTCGGTGTTCTGTGGAGCTTCCTTGATAGATTTATGCTCCAAACGGTTTCTAAATTGTTTGTATGAACTGGCAGGTTTTCAGTTGCAGCTTTACAGGGGGGCTTGTGGCTTTCCTGAAGTTTTGCTAACTGCATCCGATGATCCTTTAGGATGGCAGTTCCAGAATTCCCAGCCAAAATGGTACTTGGTAATTTGTACCTTTAGCTGCATTATGGAGCTTGATGATGCCTTCGGTTTTCCTGGCACCTCCATGGCAAGAAATCATTTTAGCTACTGAGATGCTTAACCGAGAAACTCAGCAATATACAGGCGCACATATTGATTTGCTGATTTTCACCAAAGGCCCTCCCCCCCTGAAATGGGAGAAAGCTTTGAATGGAGGTACCAGTTTCTGAAAGGGTATTTGGCCTGGATCAGGGCTCCTCAGAGGGATTAAAAAGCCAAGATGGCAGTCAAAGCAACAGGACTGAACCTCTGCCCATTACATCACTCCATCCTGAACCAGCATCTCAACTTTATGGGCACAGGTTTATGGGTCCCCGGTCCCTGTGGATCAGACCTTTTGCTTGGGCACTTTGTATTTATTTATTTATTTATTTAAATCGAGGGCGCTGTGCAGACAAACAGCTTCTCAAGCTGCTTCCCTGTCCTGCATTGGTGAACATCAATCTATTCTATGCAATGAGCACCAAGGAAAGGAAAAACTATCCAGTCTAATCCAAGCTAAGGATAATTGATGAATGATGATGAGTCATCAGAGCTCCCTAGAAACTTGCTGTTCTGATATCCTTCAGTGGAATCCAGAATTGGGATGTCCCCTGCAAGGAGAAATAGTCCCTTGCTCTTGCACAGTTGGGGACTCTCGAAGACAGGTAGGAAAAGCCCCCCCCCTGCCCCCCCCTCTCCGTGGGCCTGCAGAGCGTGATCCTTGAAGAAACCAGGGCTTGGACAGCAAGAGTTCTAGAGGAAAGCGAACATGTTAATGGACGTCCAGGCACAAATGTATGTGGTGCCCATGAAGAGTGCATGTGTGTATGTAATAGCAAAGTATTATGACCAATGTTCCTTGGGCATCCCAACACTCTCCGTTATGGGGCATTTCCCACCCCGGACATATGCTGACCAGAGCCCACTTCTGCCCCTCTTCCTGTGTCGTTAGAGGTTCTGCTGGTCGGAACAAGGAGGAGCTGAGAATCTGGAACAAGCGGTTATTATGTGTGCACGCCATCAAGGGGCATATTGCTCTACATATCTCTGCCCATGCAGGTGTGTGTGTGTGTGTATGTTTGTCTGTTTGTGTGTGAGACAGAGAGATGTTAAGATGACTTTGATATTGAGTTGGGGTCTCCATCATGGCTCTGAGGGTGGGTGGGTGGGTGGGAAGGCACACGTCCCTGCAGAGCTTCCTTGAAGGGAGGAAGAGGGAGTCTTCCTACTGAATATCCAATAGGCCTTAAGGAGAAGGGCTTAAATGAGGTCTCTATGGACGCAGTGGCTCAGTGGCTAAGACACTGAGCTTGTTGATCAGAAAGGTCAGTAGTTTGACGGTTCGAATCCCTTGCACCACATAACAGAGAGAGCTCCCGTGATTTGTCCCAGCTTCTGCCAACCTAGCAGTTCGAAAGCACGTAAAAATGCAAGTAGAAAAATAGGAACCACCTTTGGTGGGAAGGGAATAGCGTTAGTCATGCCGGCCACATGATCACGGAGATGTCTTCGGACAGTGTTGGCTCTTCAGCTTTGAAACGGAGATGAGCACCACTCCCTAGAGTCGGGGACGACCAGCGCATATGTGCAAGGGGACCCTTTACCTTTAAGAAGGACAGGGGGTGAGGTTGGGGGGGTGGGGGTGGCTGGAGGTCTTTCTGGCCGATGCTCCGGTCCCTCCAGCTGAACCTCAAATCAAGAGAGATGATGGGGAGAGTTGGCTCCAGTGCCAGGACAGGCACCCTTTGAAGGAGGCTGAGGAATCTGTGGTGTACTTATTCTGGTACATTATGATCACCTTCAGCTCTGCTGATACAGCACCCTAACTAGGTTTATTGGCTGGGGCTTTAACTCAATTTCAGGGCTTTTGATTTCTCTGCCCTCCTTCTG